GGTTTCTCAGCTTTACAATCTTTGGATTGGTTAACAATTGGCAAACTATGAGATGTTACAGTTTAATTGGTCAGGACTGGTGGTCTTTGTTCTTAGGCTAGGGCAAAGGAAAACCTCTGGTCTCCGGCCTTGAGCTGCCTGGCTATTTAAACATATATCATTTTCTTGGAGCTAGAGGACGTGCTGAAGCTTATATACAAAATGGATTCTTCTCTTTGGCCCTACAGTGCAGCAGATTTACCTATACAATATGTCATTTGATTTCTTGACTGCTGCTTCCATAAGTGTTGATAGTTGACCCAAGCAAAATGAAGTCTTTGACAACTTCAATCTTTTCTCCATTTATATGGATGTTATTTATTGGTCCAGTGGTGAGGATTTTTGTTTTCTTTTCATTGATATGCAACCAATACCAAATCGAATGTTGTGGTCTTTTATATTCATCAGTATTTTAAATCCTCTTTGCTTTCAGCAACCAAGGTTATATCATCTGTGATATCACAGGTTGTTAATGAGTCTTCCTTCAATCCTGATGTTGCTTTTCTTCATATAATCCAACTTCTCAGATTATTTGTTCAGCATACAGATTGAAGAATACAACCTTGGCACACACCTTTCCTAATTTTAAACCAGTGTTCCCTTGGTCTTCCTCATGAGCTCAATTAAATGTTCTGGAATACTCATTCTTCGCAATGTTGTCCATAGCTCATCATGATCCACACAATCGAAAGCCTTTGCGCAGTCAGAAAAGCACGTGTAAGCATCTTTTCTGTATTCTGTTTTTAGACAAGATCCATCTGATGTCAGCAACGATGTTCCTCGTTCCATATCCTCTTCTGAATCTAGCTTGAACCTCTGGAAATTCTCTGTCAATGTATGTTTGTGGCTGTTTTGTATTATCTTTAGTGAAATTTTACTTGCATGGGATATTAATGATATTGTCTGATGATTTCTACATTCTGTTGGATCACCTCTCTTTGGAATGGCACAAATAAGGATCTCTTTCAGTCAGTTGGCCAGATAATTGTCTTCCAAATTTATTAGCTTAGGTGAGTGAGTGTCTCCAGTATTGCCTCACTTTCTTGAAAGATTTCAATTTTTATTCCATCAATTCCCAGTTCTTTGCTAATTCCTTTAATGCACCTTGGATTTCTTCCTTCAGGATCATTGGCTCTTTTTGTGTGTGTGTGAATTATGTGATCGTTTATATGGGAGAACATTAGCTTTACATTCATCCTATTATATATCATTTCATTTCCATGGTTACAATCCCATACATGAATCATCAACCAACCAAAGTGTATACACTGCAAGCCTGCCCCTGGTCCTCAGCACACAGCCCCTCTCCCTCTCTGGGTCTAGAGTCCCCAGCCACTCCATCTCTCCACATCATCATCTTTGCCTCCATCTCTGGCATCTCTGCTTCTCTGGGTAGGGTCTCACACGCTGCTCTTCTCCCTTGATAGTTCCAGAGACCTCCGCTCCTGGACTGCAAAGTCAATCACTCCCCTCCTTTTGCTACAAAGCGTCCGCCTTTACATTTCCAACCCTTGCAGTTAGTCCTGATAAAAGTTATTCACCATGGTACCACACAGGACTTATCCCCGTCTCCTTTCATTAGCCCTGCCCAGACAGATTGGATACTACTCAGTGGAGATTCTACCAGGATCATTGGCTCTTGATCATATGCTTTCTGCATCATTTAATATTTTGCCCATAGAATCCTTCAATATTGCAAGTCAAGGCTTGAATTTTGTTCTTCAGTTCCCTCATCTTGAGGAATGCTGCACATGTTCTTCCCTTTTGGTCTTTGCACATTTTGTTGTGTTTGACTTTATCTTTTCCAGTTGACCTTTGACATTTTCTATTCAGCTCTTGTACCTCCTCATTTCTTCCATTTGCTTTAGCATCTTTATGCTGGAGTGTAAGCTTCAGAGTCTCTTCAGAAATCCCTTTTGGTCTTTTCCTTCTTTCTTGTCTTCTTGGTAACCTTTTACTTTCACCCTGTATGATATTCTTGATGTCATCCACAGCTCTTCTGGTCTTCGGTCTTTAGTGTCTAATTCACCAAATCTGTTCTTCAGATGACCTCTAAATTCAGCTGTAATTTGTTCAAGGTCAAGTTTGGCTATTGCGGATTTGTTTTAATTTTCTTCAGCTTCAGCTTCACCCTGAACATACATATGAGCAATTGATGGTCTGTTCCACAGTTTGCCCCTGGCCTTGTTTTGGCTGATGATATGGAGCTTTTCCACTGTAGCTTCCCACAGATGTAGTCAATTTAATTTCTGTGTATACCATCTGGTGAGGTCCATGTGTATAGTCATCTCTTATGTGGTTTTAAGAAGGTATTTGCAATGAAGAAGCCATTGGTTTTGCAAAATTCTATCATGCAATATTCAGCATCATTTCTATCACCGAGGCCATATTTTCCAACTACTGATCTTTGTTTCCAACCTTCCCGTTCCAATCACCTGTATTTATCAATACATCTTGATTGCATGTTTGATCAATTTCAGACTGAAAAAGTTGGTAGAATTCTTCAATTTCATCATCACTGACTTTAGTGGTTGTTGGGTAAATTTGTATAATAAATAGTTGTATCCACTGGTCTGTCTAGTAGGCATATAGATATAATCCTATCACCAACAGCATTGTACTTCATGACAGATCTTGATGTGTTCTTTTTGATAGTAAGCCACGTGACTGTCAGATTCAAATGATCAATACCAGTCCATTTCAGCTCACTAATGCCTAAGATATCAATGTTTATGCGTTCCATTTCATTTTTGATAATTTCCAATTTTCCTAGATTCATACTTTATGCATTTCATGTCCTGATTACTAATGGATGTTTACAGCTGTTTCTCTTCATTTTGAGTTGTACCCCTTCAGCAAATGAAGGTTCCGAGGGCTTTATTCCATTCGCATCATCACAGTTAACTTTACTTTGAGGAGTCAGCTCTTCCGCAGTCACATTTTGAGTGTCTTCCAACCTGAGGAGCTCATCTTTTGGCACTATACTTGATAATATCCTGGTGCTATTCACCACATCTCAATATTCAGTATTCCGGTGCTGACAATATTCCACTGCTCTTCAGTGGTTTTCAGTGACTAAATATTCAGAAATAGTCTGTCTCTCCTTCTTCCTAGTCTATCCTCATCTGGAAATTCAGCTGAAACCTGTCCACCATGGGTGCCCCCCTGGTATTTAAAATACTCGTGGCATAGCTTCCTATATCACAGCAACATACAAGCCACCACAACAAAGTGACAAATAAGTAGTAGATGGGAGTTCTTAGTGGTATTTTAAAAACATCTGTCATCTGGGGTGGGACAGATGGTTTGCATGATTACCTGCTATCTGAAAGGATAAAGGTTTGAGTTCACCCAGAAGCACTTCAGAAGAACTGCCTGGGGATGTATTACTGAAAAATCCACCAATGAAACCCTTATGGAGCTGACCTTTTGATCAGCATTTCAGCACTTAACCTACCATGCCACCAGAACTTCTTAAGTGTCAGTCTGTATGTTATGTTTTCTTCCCTCAGATAAACTTAATCTTTTATTTGACAACTCTGTGGATTTTGAGAGACAGACTTTCTTCCCTCAATAAAGAAGTATCCAAGATGAAAAACACAAGGTAAGAAGGCTTTGGCTAATTAGAAGGGTTTAGCAAAAGTTGTTTTTCTATAGGTTTTTGTTTTGTTTTGTTTTTGGCTGCACAAGTGATGCACTATGGATTTTCCAAGCATCCAAGAAATGGAGCTTGTATATTGGGAGGGTGGGATAGGTAGAAGGAATGAGGGTTACTGATTGAGCATACTTAAAATAACTTTTATAGAATGTTTTGATAAAAGAGGAAACACTACAGAACCGGATTTCAAGTTCCCATGGAATCCAGACTTTATGGATCCATTGAGGCTGAATGAACCCCCAAACAGTTGCCCTGTTTAAACCTTAAGCTGAAATTATCACATAAGTCTTCTTTAAACCAAATAATACTTTATCTTAATTAGTAACAAAAAAAAAAAAAAAGTCTGACTTGAGCACCATGCTCTTTATTTTTTTATTGTGAATTGAGTGATAGTTTACATGGAAGAACATCAGCTTTACATTCATCCTATCATATTTCGTTTCATTACAATGATTACAATCCCCTCCATGCATCATCATTCAACAGCATTTGCTTCCATTCCTTTTAAAGAACCATCTATCTGAGATCATGCTCTTTTAAAGAACAATCGATCTGAGATCAAACTGGCAATGGTAACTGGAGAAGTTACGTAGGTTCGATTTGTGTTACTTGGGGAAGGAGCAACTTGGGCAAGGAGTGTGAGAATGATTGTGTGACTTGAAGAATTGTCATCAATTTCATTGAATTGGACACAGAAATTGTTTATGTTCTTCTCAACTACAACAAATGAGAAAATAAATTATTTATAAAAAATAAAAAACAATAAGTGCCTACTACACCAGGCACTGTATTGCTGTTGTTAAGTGCCATCGAGTCAGTTCTGACCCATAGCAACCCTATATAGGGTTTCTGAGGAGCAGCTGGTGAGCTTGAACCACCTACCTTGCAGTTCAAACCACTTTGCAGTCTGGTACGTTAACCCACAGCACCATACCAAGACTCCAGGCACTGTATTAGAGACATATAAAGTACATGCACTTATCCCATTCTGCAGATGGGCATAACAAACAATATAGTGTGACAACAACCTATATATTTCAGGATGATTTCAGTTCTACATAAGGATTATTACTTTTTTCTTTGGCTTCCTGTAAATCCGGGGTGGCAAATTTAGTCCATGCATTAAATCTGACCTACCATCTTTTTTCTGTACAGCCCACAAGATATAATTGGTTTGGTGTTGTAGGATAAGCACAGGACTGCAAGGTTTATTTGAACCACAATTTCAGTGGTTCAAACTCACCAGTTACTCCTTGGAAACCCTATACTGGGTCACTGTGCATTGGAACTGATTTGACGGAACTTACCAAGAACAAGATCTTTTTTAAAACAAACGTAATTTTTTTTGATACCATACATATTTCTTGCTGTTTTTATCAGCAGCACTTATACTGTTAATATGCTCAATAGTCTTGCTTTTAACCAGATAAAGTTGATGTTATTGTTGTTGTTGTTAGGGTGACATATAAAAGGCCAAACAGAGAAACCAAACCAGCTTCTATCAAGTCAGTGCTGACTCATGGTGACCCAGGTGTGTGGTGTAGAACTACTCCAGTGCTCATCCGAAAGCCCCACCAGGGCCCCTACCACAGACTACGTTGTTGTTGCTAAGTGCCATAGAGTCATAGTAATCATACACAGGGTTCCCAAGGAGCAGTTGGTGAGTTTGAACTGCAGACCTTGTATTTGAGAGCCCTGTGCTTAACCTATAGCGCCATCCCAGACTACAGATACTTTTAAAATACCACTAGAACTCCTGTAATTCTATAGGATTCCAACTCATAGTGATACCACGTGACAGAGTAGAATTGACCCACAATTTGAACCTGCTGACAAAGTGAAATTGAAATAGACACAAATTTATAAAAGTTCAATAATCCTGGGCTCTCACCAGAACAGGAGAAATTACAGGCTGAAGCCCTGAATGAGAGACTCAGAAGAGGCAAAGTGAATCCTTTCAGGAGGCTTTGGTGGGAGACTGAATTGTTGTCAGGACCATGGAAAGCTGCAAAGTCTGCCTCCATCTTTGAGCTGGGCACTGTTGTTTTCAACTCATCCAATAAAGACATTTGATTGCTACGCAATGTGCACACTGCCCTTGTTTTCTAAGGGGGAGATTAAATTGCTAGCAGGGCACTGACTGTATTTTTTTCCTGTACCAGTTAGCATTCCACTTCACCCACATTTTAAAAGCTTGAGTCTGTTCCAGCGTCACTTTCTCAGCCATGGCAAAGCACAGGCTGAACCTTTTTCAAAGTCCTGTACTTTTTACAGAACAGATCACCAGGTCCTTCTCCCTGGGAGAAGCCATTGGGAAGGTTTGAACCACCAACCTTTTGATGGGCCAGCAAGCACTTTACCATTGCATCACAAGGGCTATGTTTTCTATACTTTTAATGGTTGGAAGAAAACAAAAAAGACTATTTAATGATATATGAGAGTTTTATGAAATTATAATTCCAGCCTCCATAATAAAGTGATGTTGGTACACAATACACTCATTCATTAAATATCATCAATGAAAGATTTCATACTACAATGGCAGAGTCAAATCATTGCAACAAAGACTGTATGGCTTGAAAAAACAAAAACTATTTACTATCTGGTACTTCACAAGGAGTCCCTCAGTGGCATAAACAGTTAAGTGTTCAACTACTAACTGAAAGTTTGGTTATTTGAACCCATCCAGAAGTGCCTCAGAAGAAAAACCTGGCAATCTGCTTCCAAACGTTCACAGTCTTGAAAACCCTATGGAGCAATTTGGTGTACTCTGCACACCTGAGTTCTCCATGTGTCTGAGTAGCAAACAATTGATTTGGTTTTTCATTTTGGCCTTTTACATAAATAAATGATTAACCCCAACTGAAAAAAAAAAACAAGTCACAAATTAATGAACCTACTTAATAAGTTTACATGCAACTGTGCAAAGAATCTTGTGCAGAGACGTGATTGGTACAAAAGTAAGTCATAACGCACTGCTACTAGGGTTCCAGTTCATACCTGCGTGTATTAAACACAGAACGAGTTCAAACATGTCTTTGTCTTTAGTGGATTGCTGCAGACAAGTTCTCTCGGTAATGTGCTGGTTTTAATCTCATAGGGTGATGTCAAAATAAAAAAGAGCCAATCAAAACAATTGCTCCTGAGGGGGATCTGCAGGTCCAGTTAAGTGCAAGGCAGAGAGGTCAGCTCAGAAGATTATGGAGGCTGCATTTTGTAATGACAAAGGGGTCATATAAATAGTTTTTCTTAAAAAACACAGGAAGATCATGAAGGCTTATTAGGAAGACATTTCAAGAAAACTTAAAACTACATTGGTGAGAAAAAGACCAGTTGCCCCAAGGAATTTTTTATTATTTTTTATTACAGCAATGAACCTGCTTATTCTTACAGGGGAGCAAGGGCTATTTTACATGGATTTCATTTGAAAACCTGACCTTATCCACACTACAGCCCTGATCTTTCCCCCTTGAGACATCTTTTTGCTCCCCAAACCCAAAGAACATTTAAAAGGAACATGAGAGGTTTTCAATGATGATAAAACTGCCATGTTGATGTGGTGATGTGGCGCTGTGGGTTAATGCGCTGGACTGCAAAATCGTCTGAACTACAAGGTCGGTGGTTCAAGCTCACCAGTTGCTCCTCAGAAACCCTATGCAGAGTCTCTATGGGTCAGAACCAACTCGATGGCACTTAACAACAACAACAACAAATCATAGAGCACAGAATTCTTAGGGGAGGGGTTTGAGAGATAGAACACCACCTTCAGAAGTGTACAGGTTTAAATAGAGGATATGCCAAGAAACAACAGCTTCACATTTTATTTTTATTTAATAAAGGCTTCTATGATTTCATAGCAGGGCTGTTTCACTTATCCTTGTAAGTTAGAAGCTACTATCAAATGAGCAACCATCTTAAATTTAAATTATATGTACTTGAAACCTTAAAAGCAATGAGAAAATGTCACTCCACTTCATTATAGAAGGGCAGTTCTATAAAATATGGTGTGGGTTGTGGTGTTATGGATCATGGAATTGGTTCTGACGCATAGCAACCCTGCATAGGGTTTCTGAGACAGTAAATCTTTACCGGAGCAGAAAGCCTTATCTTTCTCCCATGGAATGGCTGGTAGTTTCAAACTGCTGACCTTGCGGTTAGCAGCCTGTCTCATAACCACTACGCTACCAGAGCTTCTATAAAATATACAGCAAATCAAAAACCAAGCCATCACCATCATGTTGATTCTGACTCATGGCGAGCCGATGTATTAAAGAATACAACTGCTACATATGGGTTTCTTGGCTGTCATTGTTAGGGGGCATCTCTGGGTCATGCAAACAGTTAAGTACTTCACTACCAGTCAAAAGGTTGGCAGTTCAAACCCATAAAAGGCACCACAGAAGAAAGGCCTGGCAATCTGCTTCCCAAAGGTCACAACCTTGAAAACCCCATGGTGCGCAGTTCTACTCTACAAAGATGGGGTCACCATGAATCAGACTCAACTCGAAGACAACAACAACAAATCCTCAATGAAGTAGGATCAGCAGGCCTTTATTTCATGGTGCCATTAGATAGGTTTGAACCACCAACTTTTATATTAATCAAGGAGTGCAATTTGTGCCAACCAAGATCCAGGAATAAGCATACAATGATAGTCTCTGTTTTCTTAAATTAACCACATTTTCATCACTGGTTATGGATCAAATACAGGAGACTTCAAAACTTTTGTGGAAAAAATGGAATGAAGAGATAGTGGAATTTACCCACAAACTTGCTGAAGCTCCCTCACGTGTCCATTCTTAACCATAGTTTTTGCAAGTCTCTCCTGGTTTGAGGAAACATTGCCAATAATTTCATAGGAAGGGAGATGAATTTCTGCAGGAAGGACAAAGGAACATTCTGGAGAGATGGTGCTATGGTTTGTAATTCTCTGCATTGTTTTACCAGGATGCTGACATTTAAAGCCATCGCTCAGCTCTTTCTTTTGGGCTGCTCTGGTCTCTGGGATTCTTCCTTGCTGAGTCAGTAAAAGAATCATTCAGATCAGTCATTGCCTATGCATTCACCATCACCAACGTCCTGCAGGGAGTCTACATCTACGGCGTCCATTGTCTCCTCAATCGGCAGGTAATGTTTGCCTCTTGTCTGATTCCCAGCTCTCATCATTTGAACAGATTCATTCTTTCCTGGTGGGGGTGGGGGGTGGCGGGGACCAGGGCAGGGATGGGCTGTGGTGACTCAGTGGTAGGATCCTCACTTTCCATGCAGGAGACCTTGGTTTGATTCCTCACCGATGCACTTCATGCACAGCCTCCATCTGTCTGTCCAGGGAGGTTTGTGTGTTGCTATGATGCTGAGCAACTTTCAGCAGAGCTTCCAGACTAAGAAAGACTAGGAAGAAAGACCTGGTGATCCCCTCCTGAAAATCAGCCAGTGGGAACCTAATGGATGGCAAACATCAGATTGTGATGAGTCAGGGCTGACTTGTTAACAACTGACAACAACATTGATGACTTGTGTTTTACCCCCACCACCAGCACTGCCATTGAGTCAATTACAACTCATAGCAACTCTGCATAGGGTTTCTGAGGCTATAAATATTTATGGGAACACAAAGTCTCATTTTTCTCCTGAAGAGGAGCTGGGGTATTTGCACCACCCACCTTGCAGTTCAAAACTACCAGCTGTTCCATGGGAGAAAGAAGAGGCTTTCTGCTCCTGTAAAGATTTATAACCTCAGAACCCCTGAATAGGGTTGCTATGAGTCAGAACCAACTCCACGGCACACAACAACATCAACAACAACAACCTTGCAGTTAGCAGTCCTACAGTGCCGCCCTGGACATCTTCTATGTTTTATCAGCATATTATAATTTACATTTATCTTTGTAATGAGTGAGATTACTTTCCCCCCCACACACATATTTAAAGGCCATTCATTTGTAACTGCCTTTCTGTGAACTCACCGTTGTTTGCTTTCTCCTCATTTTTCTATTGGCCTTTAGTCTTTTATCCTCTTGATTTCTAGAAACTCTTTACATATGAGGGACACAGTACTTTGTCTTCAATATATTGCCAGAATCATTTTCCAGTTTGTTCTTTTCCTTTGCATTTTTGCTGATCTGCTGTCTAACCATACTGTGACATACTTAGACCTGATATTGTGTTTTAGGTCACATCATTTCCAACCTAATTCCACTACACTGTGATCTTTTTTTTTTTTTAAGTTTTTATTGTGAACTGCATGAAAGTTTATAGGCAGATCATCAGTTTTACATTCAACAAATCATATACTTTGTTTCATTACAATGATTATAATCCCCTCCATGTACCATCAGTTAACAGTATTTCTCTCTATTCATTTTAGCTCTTTAAAAAGCAAAAACACTCAAGGAATATATAATTATTTACACCACAAAAGGACACATTCTGCAAGCCTGCTTCCTGGCCACCAGCTCTCAGTCCCTCTAATTCCATGAATTTAGAATCCTCAGCTACTCCTTCTCTCCATGTCCGCATCTCTGCCTCCATCTCTGGTGTTGCTGCTTCTCTGGATAAGATCCCGCATCCCGCTTGTGCTCTTCTCCCTTAATGGTCCTAGCGCCCTCTGTTTCTGGACTGTAAGATTAACTACTCCCCAGTTTTTGTTACAAAACTTCTATTTTTATAATTGTGACACTCTCAATTAGTCATGATAACAGCTACTATTGAATCATAAGAACTTATCCCCATCTGTTTTAACCAGACCCATCTATACAAGAGGAAAACTATTCAGTGGGGTCTTTATATTTGCCCACATATTGTTAAACTATATTGTTGTTGTTGTTGTTGTTATGTGCCGTGGAGTCGGTTCCAACTCATAGTGACCCTGTACAAGATTTCCACAGCTATAAATCTTTACTGGAGCAGAAAGCCTCATTTTTCTCCCACGGAACTGGTAGTTTCGAACTACTGACCTTGCGGCTTGCAGCCCGATTCGTAACTACTACTACCAGAGCTCCCTGTTGAAAACTTGTAAGCCAGTCACTTCATGCCTTTATCATTCCTCATTTTAGTGTGATCTCATCTTTTATTCAACACATAAAGTTTCTTCTCCAATCTTTCTGCCCAGAGAGACTGTGTGATCCACTATCTAATGACTGTGGACTTCTTCTATGTTTGGTTTTTCTTCATTACTAAAAGATTTCTGGGTGGGACAAGCAGTTTGCACTGCATGGCTAACACAAATTTTGGCAGTTCGAATATACTGAGCTGTACTGTGGGGAAAAAAGGCCTGATGAACTGCTTTGTAAAGATGACAACCAAGAAAACCCTGTGGATCGCAGCTCAACTCTGTAACCCACAGGATCATCTTGAGTCAAAACCAGCTCTAAGGCAACAGTTTTGTTTTTAGTTTTGTTTTTCTCATCATTATGCTTAGGACCTGCTCCTGAATCAATGCTGTTGTATAAATTGGTCTTAGCAGAGTCCTCTCAGTTAGACTTCAACTGTGTTCTCTGTTTGTCTCTAGCAGGTGCAGAAACAGAAACCTGCTAACTACACACCTCTTTCTTCTTTCTCCTACATTTCCAAATGTTTTGATAGACAAGATATATTCTCTTTGTCTTAGTTCTTAGGCACTGTTATAATAGAAATACTGCATGAGGATGGCTTTAATGAACAGAAGTTTATTCTCACTGCTTAGGAAGGTAGAAGTCTAAATTCAGAGCACCAGCTCTGGAAAAAGGTCCCTGTCACCTTTCAGCATCTCCAGCTCAGCATTCCTGTGAGATTTCAGTGTATGTTGGAATCCATCTTCCTCTGGATCTGGGAGCTTCCCAATGCAGGGACCCCAGGTCCAAAGGACACACTCCATTCCTGGCTCTTCTTTCTTGGTGGCAGTAGGTCCCTCATCCTCTGCTCACTTCTTTCTCCTTTCATCTCTTGTACAGAAAAGATGTTGCAGGACCACCCTCCTGAGAAGCTTCCTGACATCAGATCAGAACCGTGATAGAATTGAGGGCATTGCAGCCCACTTTTAAAAGGTCTCTGGGTGGCACAGACAACTTGCACTGGAGGATTATTGGTTTATCACAACAGATCACCTTATGGGAGATCATTACCTAACTGCCACACCACTGAGAATCACGGTCCAGCCAAGCTGACATGCATTCTGGGGAAACACAATACAATCTATGCTACTTCTGAATTCACTAACTTACAACATTCTGTCTCGACAATGTCTACTTTGGACCTGGCATCAGGAGGGACCAGTTCCTAGAGAAAGACATCATGTTCGGTAATGTGGAGGGTCAGTAAAAAAGAGGAAGACACTCAATGAGGTGGGTCGACACAGTGACAGCAACAACGGACTCAAACATAAGATTGTGAGGCTTGTGCAGGACCGGGCAGTGTTTCATTCTGTTGTGCATAGGGTCACTATGAGTCTGAACCAACTCGACAGCACCTAACAACATTTCTACTAATGAATTATAGGTAATGCATAACTACAGACCTTATCTTTACCAACCTAACAACAGCAAAACAATTGCCAATAAGTTGATTCCTACTCATGGAAGCTCTTTATGTGTCAGAGTAGAACTGTGCTCCTTAGGGTTGATTTTGCAGACCTAGATTGCCAGGCATTTCTTCAGAGGCACCAGTAGATGCACATGAGTCTCCAACCTTTTGGTTAGCAACCCAGCCTACGAACCATTTGCACCATCCAGGAACTCCTGACCTAACAAATACATTTGTTTTATTTTCTATTTAATGACCAAATAGATTACACAATACAGATGAAATAGTCATTGGAGCATCTACTAAATCACTAACACATACATTTTATATGCATCTTATATACTTGTGTAATATAAGGAATCTTGAGATAAGCACTGGACTGATAGCCACAGGTTTGGCAGATCTAATCCACTAGCCGCCCCTTGGAATAAAGATGAGGCTTTCTGCTCCTGTAAAAATATACAGCCTCAGAAACTCTATACAGTGTCTCTATGAGTTAGAATCTACTTGAGGACAGTGGGTCTGTGGGTTGTTGTGTTTTTTTGGTTTGTGTAATATAACACAGTATGTTTCCCTCCTGTGATGCATCTCTCTGCTGAATAATTCCACCCAACATGAAGAAGACCTGAAACAGACAATGACTGGGATCAATGTACTTCATAAACAGCCACCCCTCATCTGTCAGAAGAGGCTTGTGTGTTACTAGCATGCTGAGCAAGTTTCAGTGGCAGTTCCATACTGGGCAGGATTAGGAAGAAATGCCTGGTGATCCACTTCCAAAAACCAGTCAATGAAAACCCCTATGGAACAAAATGGTCTGACTCACAACCCATCATGGGAATGGACGGGGCAAGGTTTCATCCCATTGTGTGTGGACTCAGCATGAGTCAGGGGCCAACTGAACAGCAGCTGACAACCACACAGGGGACTCAGAGTGGATAGAAAATCACATCTCATTTTCTTTTAAGTGTTTTTTCCTAAACAAGTATATTCATTTACGTTGTTTCAGGTGCGAGAGGAGTACAAAAGATGGCTTACAAGGATGGGTAAAAGGAGTGAATCTGGGAACCATACACAGGCCAGTTCTGCCATCCACACCTAGAAGCAGACCTAAGGTACAAAGGTATGGTACCTGCCCTGGGTGCCATTTGATGGGGTTACCCCTGAGCAGTTTCTATGAACCAACCCAGTTTCTATCACCAGCTATGAGGGATCATGCAGCAAGTTAAGCAAGTACAAATACTTTTGTATTTAACAGCTTCCATGGGCCAAGGAAAGGAACCCTGGTAGTATAGTGGGTTAAGAACTGGGCTGCTAATCACAAGGTCAGCAGTTCAAATACACCAGCTGCTCCTCAGGAGAATGATGACGTTTTCTGCCTCTATAAAAATGTACACCCTCAGAAATCTTATACAACGTCTCTCTGAGTTGGAGCCAACTTTAAGGCATGCAGCAGCAGCAACATGGTCAACAAAGGCGTCCTGACCATGCTGTTGTTTAGGCACTGGGCTGCTAAACACAAGGTCAGAGGTTCAAATCACCAGCCACTCCTCGGGAGAAAGATGAGGCTGTCTGTTTCCATAGAGATTTACAGTCTCAGTTACTATGAGTCAAAATTGACTCTAAGGCAGTGTTTTGGTTATGGGAGTCAGTACTGTACAAGGTTGGCCATCCAAACCCACCAGCCACTCTTTGGAAACCGTATATCGGATCGCTATGAGTCAGAACTAACTCAATGGCACTTAACTACAATAACTGGACTGTTAACTGGAAGGGTGGTTGTTCAAATCCACCAATCACACCTTGAAAACCCTATAAGGGTTTGTTATGAGTCAGAACCAAGTCGACAGCCCTAAACAACAACAGCTAGGAGCCCTGGTGGCACAGTGTGTTAGGTATCAGGCTGCTAACTGAAAGGTCAGCAGTTTGAACCCACCAGCTGCTGCAAGAGTTCTGTAATCTTCTGTCAAGATTTACAGCCTCAGAAAGTCTGTCCTATAAGGTTGCTATGAGTTAGAATTGACTCAATGGCAGTGGGTTTAGTCACTTCAGGGCTGTAAGTACGTGGAGCCCTAGTAGCTCCATCCATTAGGGCAGTTCAACCTCACCAGCTGCTCCGTAGGATCAAGATGAGGCTTTCTGCTCCCATAGAGATTTACAACCTCCAGAACTGCCATTTTCACTCTGTGAGTTTGGACAGTTTTCCAGTCTGGATTATGTGTGAGTTTTTAATAAATCTTTTAATTTCATTTTTGTAGAACTTGAGCCTTCACTCTAAGACACCTCTTACAAACTCCACCTTCTATATGCAGATGGAAAAACCATCTTATTTATTTAGGAAAAGGAACAATAGTTCAATCTGATACAGATATCAAGCCCTAACCTCCCTCACCCCACAACCAAAACATCATTTTTCTTTCTTTGTCATTGTCATTAAATGACTCTGAGTTGGTTTTGACTCATAGAAACCCTGTATAGGGTTTCCAAGGAGCAATTGGTGGGTTTGAACTGTCGACCTTGTGATTTGCAGTTCAGTGCTGATCCTATTTGGGAACCAAAATAATTGTTGTTGTTAAGTGCCATCAAGTTAGTTCCAACTCATAGCGACCATGTATAGGGTTTCCGAGGAGCAGCTGTTGAGTTTGAACTGCCAACCTTACTATTAAAACCGACCTTGCAGTCCAGTGCATTCTCCTGCAGCACCACACCAGGACTCCTTTCTTTCTTTGGCCATAGGCAAAAAAAGAAAGAAAGAAAAAAAAAAGACCCTATTTTAAGCTAGTTAAGCTAAACATCAATCTCCCAACTTGTACCCTCTTCCCTTTCCCTGGAATCAGGAAACTGGGCAGAAGCTAAGAATAATTAAACATTTGTAAAATATCTCTCTGTGTAAGGCCAGCTCCTTGACCACAAGCAAAAAGCAAGCCAAGAGTGCCATGCCAGCTATCAAAACTACAACCCACCAGAGCATAAGGAATCAAAGAGACCTCTGAGGTTGAATAGTATACAAGAAGACCATCACAGCACTGTGATTTGTACCCACATTCTTGCTTTGTGACAGCTTCCCATATTTTCAAGAAATAACTATTTGTCCTAGCTTATCCTCTGAAAGCTTCCTGAAACCCTATAAGATACTCTTAATTCCCCTCTTTGCTCCTCAGTGAGACAGTTTGCAGCAGAGATCCCCCTGTCTCATTGCCTTCCATAGAAAGCAATAAAGATGCCTCTTTTCTCCTCCAAAAAGCCTGTCACATAGTCTTCTTCATCTCACATCTGTGGCAGACAGACAGCTTGGGTTTTGCCCAGCACCAAATCTGAAAATTATAAGCTGCTCCACATCATCACTTGATTTCATCTTCTATTTTTGAGAAGTGGAAGAGAATCAGCCATGTTACCAAACATGAGTGAGAACTGTTTCTCCAAACTGTAGACTTGGCAGAAAGTGTGCTTTGGTTGAATAGTATTTTGAATAATGCTTCATTTGCAGCCTATTTTAAACAGAACTATTTCACATGCATGTCTTAAATGTACAGTTTGATGATTTTTACAAAGTTATTGTCATAGAACAAAATCATAGAATCACCTTAAAATAAAAGCAAAAGAGATTTATTGAGA